GGCGAGTACGTAAAATTTTCCACGAATTTGGAGTCAGGAGAGACAAGGAAAGAAGATTTTAGTGAAAGATGATGAAGAGAAGCCCACAGTGACCAACTGACGAGGATTAAAGATGGCTGGCGAGTTCTAAAGCAGACCGAAGATTAGAACGCAAAGTGAGATCCCTTTAAAAGCAGCATCGCAGTGGTAACGGTAGTAGCATCTCTAGCACTAGAGGTGGTAGTGATAGTAATAGGTGCTGCAACGGTGGTAGTACTGGTGAGAGCAGAAAAGGCAGAAATAAGAAAAAAGTAAAGAAATTTCAGGAATCAGCAAGCGGAGAGGGCGAGAAATAGATAATTCGTACGTTCGCAAGCACGACTGGGGCGGGGAGAGGGGGTTCAATTTGAAAGAAGGAATCCAGCCCCCGAATGGAAGAATGTCCTCGATTGCAAATATTATTGCGTCCAATTTGTTTGGCACTACGAAACCTCCGATGCCTTCTGTAATAATACGGCGCAGTTTTATACCTCACCCATAAAACTCGCAATTTTCTTTTTTCGCACACTCCGGCCGGTTCTCCTTCCCAATCGGCTGAGATGAGGCATTGTACTGTCCCGTTTGCTGCGCTTAATATAGCAGCAAAATTACTTAATTCAAAATTTTAGCAACGGCAGCATCAAGAATGCGCATTTTTCACAGCCAGTAAGAAAGGGGGAGTGCAACGGCTGAATTTTGAATTATTTTTTTTAGGGCCAAAAATTAGAGGCTAATCTAGGCAAGCAATCTCCGCGGCTTTTCCAGTTACTGTAAAGCCGCTGGTCGCCGGTTCTTTTTAAATTTTTATCAGATGCATCAACAGTGCACGCCGTTATCTGTCTCGATCAAATGTATAAAAACCAAAAAGCTAGCCGAGAGACCGCTTTAATCAGTTAACAGATAATTTGCATATCATTAGCGATCCCACTTTTTGTTATGCACCCACCCCACTGATTTCGAATTTGTTTTGATGGATAATCATTAGTTGACTGAAATTCACAGGCGCATCCTCCTTCTAAAACACACAAAAAAAAAATTCGAAAAAGTTCAAATTCTTTTCAATGAGGCCTCACTTTTACTTGTTACTTTCAGTGTTGCTTTAGTGAGACTACTTCCGGCCAGATTCATTGCGGCGCAAACGTAATTTCCCTCATCCGCTGGTCTCACATCAGCGACCGTAAGTTCACCATCGGGAGTTACCTTTATTCTTCCATCAGCAGAAATTCGACCAGGAAAAAACAATTCCTGAAAATTCACTTTTTATGCGAGATCACTGAAAACCGTTTCCTAAACTGCTGCCACAGTAATCGAGAATTAGCACGGCCCGAATTTGGCGTATTAGCACATTTACATGTCAAAAGTCCTTTTTCTGGATCACGATTTAAACCAGCCCCCTCTAACATTTAATACGGAATGAAGCGTATTATATGAATATATTTACATGTTAACGAGCAAAAATACGACCAGACTTATTAAATTCAAATGTTTTGTTCCAATTTCTCTACAACTCCTTTTCGACCCACTTAACCTAAAACTCTTCCCGCTTTGTAAAAAGATACAAGTGCAGTGAGATACTTCCCTGTACTCTTTTATAAAAAATATGTCCAGAATGTTAAAAAATGTGGTCCAGTCAATCACTAAAAAGTATTATAAAAATGACACTGCGATTTGGGAACAGCCAGGAATCCCGGGAGATTACGTATCTCACAGGTAAAGGAAAATAACAACGACACTATTTTAGAGCTTCTTTCCAGTCTTCCACTGACTGTTGAGGAAATTTACGGACAAACGCATAAGCAACAAAACGTTCCCTCATACGAAAGAGACAACCGCAGCTTGAATACTCAGTTCACCAGTATTTCTGAAAACACGGACCTGCTGGCCTTCCCTTGACCAAAACAGTGCTGGTTGTGGTTGGCCCTCGGCTTCACACTTGAATTTCGCTGTAGCACCAGAATCGACGGTGATGTCAAGAGGAGTTTTCGTGAACGACGGTGCAGCATGTACACTTAGGTGAGCGGATGTATTGATACTGCCGGCTGGATTCTTCGCTTGGCAGATATATTCACCTTCATCACTGGGCTGCACTCTGCAAAAATTCACACTGCTGTTGAATAAAAATGCGTTGAATAAAAATGCGAACATCGGTCCCCAACAAAGTAGTCACTACAACGCACCATAAACAACTGAGAGCAGCAAAAAGTCGAGCACCAAAAAAGCAAAAGCAAAATAGCAGAAAAAGGCAAAAAAACATAAAAGAGCACCAAAAAACGGCGCAACGAGCTAGCGACTAATCCTGAAACGCCCTCCCCCTTTCCCTTTCGCAACTTTTGTCTCC